GGGTTTCAGGAAACCTGAAGGGTATTCGGTCCCGAACACTGAACACTAAACCCTAAACCCCGACTCTCTTGATCAGGAATCCGGGCGCTTTTCTTCCGGCGGGTAGAGAATATTCACCACTGAGCCAGCCCAGAAAACAACCCACCCCCACACCCCCCACCCGAACCCCAAGAGCCCAACCCTAAACCCTAAACCCTAAACCCTAAACCCTAAACCCTAAACCCTAAACCCTAAACCCCAAACCCTAAACCCTAAACCCTAAACCCTAAACCCTAAACCCTAAACCCTAAACCCTAAACCCTAAACCCTAACCCTAAACCCTAAACCCTAGACCCTAGACCTAAACCCTAAACCAAAGAAGCCAAAAACCATGAACCCTAAGCCTTAAAGCGTGTATAACCTTAAAGCGCCCCCTAAACGCCACAAGCTCCAAAGGCCCCCCCCTCCCCCCCCCCTTCCCTCCGGTTTAACTGCAGGAGCCCCCGAGCCATTTGCGTGTTTAAGGGTACAAGGGAGGAGGCTTCAGGCTTCGGAAAGCTAGGAAAGCTTCGGGTTTAGGGCTTAGCGTTTAGGACCTCTAGCTTAGGGACCCCTCATCCCTCCCCCCCCCTCCCACCGCCCCCCCCCCCAAAAAAAAAATCTCGCATTCCCTGAGTTGCTTGCTGCTCGGCCCACTCCAGCCGCTCAGCATGCTCCACAAGCCTTCAGAGAAAGCAGAAGGACTTCCGAGCTGAATCGAGCTTTAAACCCTTGGCCCCCTAAACCTCAAACCCGAAACCCTAAACCCTAAACCCTAAACCCTAAACCCTAAACCCTAAACCCTAAACCCTAAACCCTAAACCCTAAACCCTAAACCCTCACCCTAACCATCTTCTGGGGCTTCATAAGGCCTCAATGGGGCTCGTAGCCGTTTTGTTTGGGCTCGTAGGGTTTCAAGGGTTTATGGGTCTCACAGGAGCTTCCCGAGTTATAGAGGGTTTAGGCTTGAGGGGTTAGAGTTTAGGGTTTAGGGTTTCGGGTTTAGGGTTTCGGGTGGGTTTAGGGCTAACAAAAGGAAACAAGGCTTTAGGGTTCAGAAGTTCAGCCCAAAGTGCTTCAAAGGGGCCTCTGCCTCATATCTCCAACGTCTACACTCTGATTCTGATGGCGGGCGGATCAGAAGAACAAGGTCGCAATAACACTTGCGGTTTGGGGTTTAGGGTTTGGGGTTTAGGGTTTAGGGTTTAGGGTTTAGGGGTTGGGGGTTGGGGTTTGGGGTTTAGGGTTTAGGGTTGAAATCACTCATAAGAGGCGCCGTTGCAAAGCCTGTCAGCGTCGAAAGCCCCCCACACCCGCAACAGCGTCGACGCGCAAAACCCGAGGGCCCTGAAACGCTGCCCTAAACCCTAAACCCTAAACCCTGAACTCTAAACCTTGAACCCTAAACCTTGAACCCTAAACCCTAAACCCTAAACCCTAAACCCTAAACCCTAAACCCTAAACCCTAAACCCTAAACCCTAAACCCTAAACCCTAAACCCTAAACGCACGCCCAGCTGCTGCATAGAGAGCTGGCTGCCCTCCGCCTTGCTGGGCTTTAGGGTTGAGGGTTTGGTAGGGTTTAGGGTTTAGGGGTTGAGGGTTGAGGGCTCAGGGTTGAGGGTTGACGGTTGAGGATTTTAGGGACTTCGGGTCTTAGGGGTCTTGCGGGGCTTAGGGTCTTGAGGGTCTTGAGGGTCTCGAGGGTCTCGAGGGTCTCGAGGGTCCTGAGGGGCTTAGGGTGTCAGGGTCTTAGGGGGTCTTAGGGCCTCGAGGGTCTTGAGGGTTGAGGGTTGTAGGGGGCTTACTGTCGTAGGGTCTTGAGGGTCGTAGGGTTTAGGGGTCTTGAGGGTCTTGGGGTCTTGAGGGTCTTGAGGGTCTTGAGGGTCTTGAGGGTTTTGAGGGTTTTGAGGGTTTTGAGGGTTGCAGGGTCTAGGGCTTTCGGGTCTTAGGGTCCTAGGGTCTTACGTTCTTAGGGTCTTACGGCCTTAGGGTCTTAGGGTTGTAGGGTTGGAGGTCCTAGGGTTGGGGGCCTGCACGGCAGCAGAATTGAAAGGGACCAGCCCAACGCAGGGGCGCCGATTAAATGCAAGTCTCTACTGCAACTATATCTGGGGCAGTACAAGGGGGTCTTATATAGGTCATGATCCTAAACCCTAAACCCTAAACCCTAAACCCTAAACCCTAAACCGTCAACCCTCAACCCTGTCTTGCACACACTTCTTTTGATCAGAGCCCGGAGCCCTGAACCCCCAAACTTTACACTTCGGCCCTTAAACCCTTAACCCTTAAACCCTAAACCCTAAACCCTTAAACCCTTAAACCCTTAAACCCTAAACCCTTAAACCCTAAACCCTAAACCCTTAAACCCTAAACCCTAAACCCTGAGACAGCCAGGCCATGCAGGGCTTCCAAGCCTTGCGCTCCTGGCATTCTCTGCGAAGCTCCTGTGCGCCGACGGCGAGCGTATCTAAAGGGGGTATAAGGAGGGACCCCTAGAAGGGGGCCCTTCATCTGATTCCCCTATATGACCCCTATACACTTACCGAATTCTATAGTCCCTAGATCCCTACAGAAGGCCTGCAGAGCCCCTTAGGGTCCCCTAGAAGGGTCCCTCCTTTAGTCCCTTGGGATCTAAGGTTGGAACCACGGGCGCTTAGCTTCGCCCTGGTTCTTAGCAGGGAATGGGGGGAAATGAGGTGCCCTGTAGAATCCCTGAGAGGGTATATATAGGGGATCTAGGGTACCTCATTCCCTCATCCCCTACTAAGAACCAGCCAGTATGTATACAGTAGTGTATAGAAGGGTCCAAACGCTTCTAAAACAACCCAAATGACCCTTGTTGATAAGGGATCCGAAGTATGGGCCTTTATTATGTATAGTGTGTGTAAGGGTTACATAGCAAGGGACCCAAATCAAGGCCCCTAAAGTGTCCCGAAGCCCGTCTTAGGGTACTAGGGGGGTTTCAGGGGGAGGGGGGGGGGGTCTCACTGAAGGTCCTCGCGAGCCTGCGCCACCAGAGCCTCCACCTGCGACAGGTAGGACTTGGGCTTGCTGTTTTTTAGGGTCCAGGGCCCCTCTTAGGGGGCAGGGTTTACGGTCGGCTTAGGTTGAGTGCACTGGGCTTTGGGCTTCGGGAGACTCAGGGTTTAGGAAGTTTAGGGTTTAGGGTCCCTCTGTGAGATATGCAATCTTCCCCTTTCAACATCACGGAGCCCAATGTAACTCTAGGAACCGGCTTGTCAAGAAGGGGGGGGGGGGCATGGGCTCTCTGTCTCTCTAGCGCCCTGCTGTGGGAGCTTGAAACCTACACCCAGGCCCCGAAAGAAACCCGAAACCCTGAACCCTAAACCCTAAACCCTAAACCCTAAACCCTAAACCCTAAACCCTAAACCAAAGCCCATCTACTCTAAGCCCTAAACCAAAGCCCATCTTCTGGCAAAAGCATCCGCCTCGGCCGTCTTGGCCTGCTTCTGCTGGACCTGTCGCTCCCTAAGCCTCCCTTTGTGAACATGAGCGCAGGTGCATGGGTTTGGGGCGACATGGACTGCAGTACCAACTCCATGTGGGCAAGCTCAAGACTATGTATGCCTAAACCCTAAACCCTAAACCCTAAACCCTATGATTGTGTTGTCTTTCAGGGCCCCCACCCACATCCAACAAGAGCTTCACCAGTAAAACTCTCTGGACCTCTCCGGACTGCACAAAGATCGCACACAACACAGAAATGCAACTGCGGCCTCTGAAGGGAAAGGGATTCGAGAAAATATGCCCGCCCGAAACCCTAAACCCTAAGCCCTAAAAACCAGGAAGCCTCTGCAAGTCCGCTTTGAACCGCCTGGCTCGCAGCTTTGAGGGAGCCAGCTTGCACACATTAAAGGCTGGTTTGGGGTTTCGGGGCTGTAAGGTTTTAGGGGTATAGAAAAGTCAACATGCCGCACAAAGGATCCAGGCTTTTGAGGCATGTGTGGGGCGCCAGCGCGAGTCGACATTGTCAGAAAAGAAAGGTTCACACTCTCATTGTGCTTGACATGTCGCCACTCTAGGCTTTACAGTCCTGCAGGCCAGCGCAGAGTGGACGACAAATAATTCAGGGTTGGAGCTTCCTTTTGGTTTGGGGTTTAGGGGGTTTAGGGTTTAGGGTGAACCCAAGGACAGTCAAGAAACCCATGGAAAAGAGGCAGGTGTCGACTCACACTCCCTCACAGAGTAGTGTTTAGGGTTTAGGGTTTAGGATGCGGAGGACGCCTGAAATAAGCCCTTGATGGGTGTCTGTGTTCGAAGGCTTCAGCAGCAGACAAGGCGCCAAAGACCCAAAGACACTTGAAGACATCGCCTCGTCATTTGCGTCGCTCAGCCCTAAACCCTAAACCCTAAACCCCAGACCCTAAGCCCTAAACCCTCATTTCTCTAAGCTCTCAGCTCCCCGATGCCCTCGATGACGTCGATCGACAGCTAAACAACTAAAACCCATCCAAGCCTTCAAAATATGACACCTCTAAACCCCAACCTCTGAACACCCTAAACACCCTAAACCCTTGAACCCTTAACCCTAAACCCTAAACCCTTGAACCCTTAACCAGGGAGGCAACACCCCAACGGTAACGCGGACAGATTCGCAGCGCGCGTCCTTGGTTCTCTCTGTGAAGCGACAGCCAAGTTTTTTGAGGGTGAGGGGAGGTTGGGTTTAGGGTTTAGGGTTTAGCGTCTAGGGCTTAGGGTTTAGGGTTGAGGGTTCAGGGTTCAGGGTTTAGGGTTTGGAGGGGGCTCGACACCACTGGCTTGGAGACCTCTCGTCGGATGTCGAGGCCGCTTTGGGAGGGCTTGTTTAGGCTTTAGGGCTTTCGGGCGTTCAGGGCTCTTGGGGCTTGAGGCAATTTTTGTGTTTAGGGCTGTTTAGGTTTTAAAGTTAGGGTTTAGGATTAAGTTTATAGGGTTAGGGTTTAGGGATTAGGGATTAGGGAGTAGGGCTTAGGGTTTAAGGTTTAGGGTTTAGGGTTTAGGGTTTAGGGTTTAGGGTTTAGGGTTTAGGGTTTAGGGTTTAGGGTTTAGGGTTTAGGGTTTATGGTTTAGGTTTAGGGTTTAGGGTTTAGGGTTTAGGGTTTAGGGTTTAGGGTTTAGGGTTTAGGGTTTAGGGTTTAGGGTTTAGGGTTTAGGGTTTAGGGTTTAGGGTTTAGGGTTTAGGGTTTAGGGTTAGGGCTTAAGGTTTAGGGTTTTGGGTTGTCTTGCAACCCAGCTTCCAGGTCGGCCACGGCTTTGCTGAGGTTGGCTGCCTCGTGCCACCCTAAACCCTAAACCCTAAACCCTAAACCCTAAAACCCTAAACCCTAAACCCTAAACGACGAGGTAAGGGGACTACAGGGAAATTCTGGACACGTGTCGTGTCTGTCGACTGCAAGACCTCTGGGTAGCCACCAGGAGCGGTTCTTGGGTTTAGGGGTTCGGGTTCAGGGTTGAGGGTTGAGGGTCACCCTCTCAAAGGTGAGTTGACGCATGCAGTTGTCCCACCTCAGCGTCCCACTCCCACAGGTGCAGGGTACCAGGGATTGTAGGGTTCAACCGCTTAACACCGAACCTCAACCCCAAAATGCCCAGAACACACCAACCAAAGGAAGAAACACAGCTTGGGATGTTCCCCCTTATAACCAACAGTCCTGAAAATAGATTATAGTACCCTCCTACTACAATCCCTATCAAGGACTTTATCCCAAGAAGAAACACAGCCTAAACCCTACACCTACTCCCTACACCCTACACCCTACACCCTAAACCCCAAACCCTAAACCCTAAACCCTAGACCCAGCTGGGGCGTGCGCGGCTTTCGTGCCAGGCTTGCTTGCATCGCCGTGCAGCCGTTGCCTGGGGAGGCACTTCGCGGAGTTGAGAGAACTCATGTTGGCTAAGCCCTGAGCCCTAAACCCTAAACCCTAAACCCTACACCCTAACCCCAAACTTCAAGTACCAAACGGCAGGACCCCAAAAACTCGGCTCTCCACCAACACTAGGAAGCAATCCTTCAAATGAAAATGAGGATCACCAATAGCAGTGGGAGATTCCTTAAATTCTGGGGTACCCTATAGACAAGGCTGCGTCTTCTAATCGGATCCCCAAGAGGGACAATGTATTCAGAGAACCTCCGGATGTGAATCAGAGGGTTCAGGGTTTAGAGGTTAGGGTTTAGGGTTTAGGGTTGAGGGGTCAGGGTTTAGGGTTTACGGAATCTTCCCTTGAGGAGTGCGGAGTCTTTGAGATGCAGCAGGCAATGCCCTCTGCCTGGCATTCTCCTCCGCCAGACGCAGGCGATCCTCGATGGTGCGGAGCCTGGCATAGAAAATAATCAGCTACAAACAGTTTCGGGGGTTTAGGGGTTTAGGGCTTCATTATAAGGGCGCTTTAGGGGTTTAAGGGGTTCAGGTGTTTAGGGTTTAGGGTATTGGGGGTCTAGGGGCTTCGGGGGTTCGGGGTTTGGGGTTTGGGGTTTCCGGTTCTGGGGCTTGGCGGGCTTGGGGGGGGGGGGTGTAAGATGCCCTGTAGAAAAGCCATTATGCCACAAATCCCGCGGGGAATCCTTCCTAAGGAGTCTGCTACAAAACCCGAAACCCGAAACACTTAAACCCTAAACCCAAAACCCTAAACCCTAAACCCTAAACCCTGTAGGTCTTGCTTTCAAAGGGGCTGCGACGCTGCCGTGATGTCCAGCTGGCGGCGCTCGTCAGCGATGCGGCTCTCTAGCCTCGGTTATGATCGAGTTCCGGGTTTAGGGTTTAGGGTTTAGGGTTTAGGGTTTAGGGTTTAGGGTTTAGGGTTTAGGGTTTAGGGTTTAGGGTTTAGGGTTTCGGGTTTCGGGTTTCGGGTTTCGGGTTTAGGGTTTAGGGTTTAGGGTTAGGGTTTAGGTTTCAGATTTAACGTTGGGATGTTCCCCCTTGTACTAACAAACTGTCCTGAGTAGGGATTATAGTACCCCTTGTTATCCCCAAACCCCTAAATCTAAACCCCTAAACCCCGAAACCGCTGAACCCCTAAACCCCCCAAACCCCCAAACCCCTAAACCCCCAAACTCCCAAACCCCTAAGCCCCCTAAACCCCTAAACCCCTAAACCCCTAAACCCCTAAACCCCTAAACCCCTAAACCCCTAAACCCCTAAACCCCTAAACCCCTAAACCCCTAAACCCCTACACCCCTAAACCCCTAAACCCCTAAACCCCTAAACCCCTAAACCCCTAAACCCCTACACCCCTAACCCCCTAAACCCCTAAACCCCTAAACCCCTAAACCCCTAAACCCCTAAACCCCTAAACCCCTAAACCCCTAAACCCCTAAACCCCTAAACCCCTAAACCCCTACGAAAAGTGGGCAGTGGCCAGATCAGTTGTGTCCTGCAACTGTTGCTCTTCTAGCAAAAATCCCTCGCCCGAGGACGGCTAAAGATGCTAGGCCGATTACGGTGTTGCCAACATTGTATCGGCTGTATGGCAAAATCATGACTCAGAAAATTTTCCGACACTGGGAAGGGTCGTTTCCGGAAAAGCTTTTTGGCGGGGTTCCTGGACGTAGTTCGATGGATGCCGCGTGGGAGCTCGCATCAGCAATTGAGGAGTCAGTAGCGGATGAGGGCCAGCTTTTCGGTATTTCACTGGATTTATCTAAAGCATATAATACATTGCGTCGTGACGTGCTTGAAGTTTTTGCGTTAAGATGTGGGTGGCCACCTTCCTTGGTACGGGCGTATCTGGCCTACCTTGACAAGCTCGACAGGTTTTTCAAATTGGGGAAGGTTTGTATGGGCCGGTGCGCAGCAAGGTGGGCGTGCCGGAGGGCTGCCCTTTAGCCTTTCCTGCCATGATCTTGGTAACTTGGGCGGTCTCGCAGTACGCTTGCTCCGAAAATTCCCGTTTAATCTCCTTCGTGGACAATTGGTCGTTGCAAGCCACTTCGGGCAGTTCGGTGATGCGGGCACTTGCAAAGGTTGTTAGCGCAGCCGATGTGCTTCACCTCATCCTTAATCCTGAGAAAACACGTGCGTATTGCACGACTGCGTCGGGAAGAGGGTTCTTGCGCAAGCAAAGTTGCCAAGGGTTCCCGTTGCAGGTTTCCCTTAGGGTTGACGATTTAGGGGTTGAGTTTAATGCCAGTAAACAGGGATCTGCGGTTGCTACAACACAGCGGTTGGAAAATTCAGCTCCAAAGCTATTGCGTTTGAGACACATGCCCTGCTCAGCTGACCGCCGGGCTGCAGTTTTGGTGAAAGCAATACATCCTTCAGTTGCGTTTGGTTGTGAGTTGTCTGCGGTGTCGTGGTCAACATTCAGCGCAATGCGGCGAAAATATTCTGTTGCAATTTGGGGAAAGTCCACTCAAAGAAATCATTTTCTGACACCGTTGTTTGGTGGGGAAACGAACTACGAGCCTTTTCTACTGGTGTTGCAATGCCGAGTCGCTGCTTTGCGTAGGGCCTTTGCAAGGAACCCCTCCCTGACTAGGGCTAGGTGGGATAAGGTTTTGGGGTGTAGGGATAGGACCCCGGGACCCACTACGTACTTGCAGGAGCAATTAGCCATGATAGGCTGGACGCCGCTAGCAGGGATGCGCGCGCATTCACAATCGCAGCAGCAGTACTCCCTGGTGTGGACTGACATAAGTCTGCTCAAGGAAATGTTCTTGAATGATTGGTGGCTTAAAATTTTTCCGAAAATTTGCGAACAAGAAGGGTTAAACGATGCATCGGGCATTAGTGTTTCACATACCTTGTTTTTGCGAAAAGTTACTAAGTGCAATGCCCCCACAGTCGGGTGTGTTACTAGTAATGCTCTGTTGTTTAGTGCAGCAAGGAAACATTTTGTGGGGCAGGGTCAGGTCATGTGCCCTTATTGCCAGGCATGGGACTCACAGCAACACCGGATGCTTGAATGCCCGCACTTCCAACCTCTCAGGGAGTCGTTGCCTAATGACTTCTTGTCGTCTCTCACAAGGCCAGCTTTGCTCAGAGGACTCTGGGTCATTCCGCCAGAGTGTGCTAAATTGCAGGAAGCACTGGAGGCATTGCCGCCGCCAGCGCACAACGTGTTTTTTGAGGAGCACATTTGTTTGTTTACTGATGGGTCCACTTACGACAGCACGGGCGTTCCGCGTAGTGCGTGGGCAGTGGTGTGTACGCGAGAGGGTTCCCTTGACAATGCGATTGTTGAGTCAGCGTGCCTGTGTGGGAAGCAAAGCAATCCAAGAGCAGAGCTCACTGCAGTGCTGGTGGCGTTCCAACATGCGGTGACGGCAGACATTTACTCAGATGCCCTCGGGGTGGTCAGGGGTGTTCGTCGTTTGTTGAGGGAGGGGTGGCGATATAAGTACTGGGGAAAGCAGGTGAATCTTGATCTGTGGTGGTTGGTTTGGCAGCAGATTTTTTCCAAACCCGGGCCTTGGAAAATATTTCATGTGAAATCCCATTCGGACCATCGAATGGCTGTTGATCAATTTAGCAAGTGGACATTCTGGCATAACGCAGCTGCGGATGAAGCAGCCAAGGCTGCCCACTTGAAAAGAAGCGTGGAGTTGAACCAATGCTTTGAGCAGGCATCAGCCGCAGCTGCTTCCCAACGTCACGCCGCCGCTAAACTCTTTGCATTCCATGAGGGAGTGGTGAAACAAGCTGGAGGTGATGAAAATCCCCAGGTGCTTTCCGTGGGTGGGTTAGGGTTTGGGGTGGGTGGAGATGGACAAATTGACCTTATCAGGGATTTGGGCGGCGTGCAAGTACAGACGTGTGTCCAACCTTTGCTGGAGTTCGACGATTGCTTGATGGGCCCGCGTTTTCTGTGGGTACTGCAGAAGTTTTTCTTGTCTCAGTCATGGAAGCAAACACAGTCGCCTGTGTCAGTGCTGGAAATATATCTCGAATTTGTGGCGCAAACCGGCTGGATCGCACCAGCCAACACAGCTAAGATGGAGTCTGCGACATTGCCTCTACGCTATCGAAATAGCATCCCGTCTTCGTGGGTTCATGAATCGGAATACCCAGCTCTCAAGCTTTGTCGGCCTGCGCTCGGGAAGCAGGTAACCGTCTTTCTGCATGCGATTAAAGAACTGTTCAAGCGCACGCAAGCTGAGCATAGCGTTGTACAGGAAAAGGCCTTGAGTGTCATAGGTCTTTCAAGACGAGTGCCGGCTCTTTATATCTGTCCAATGACGATAGATGCACAGGCTATCCGGCTGAAGTCTGTTATTGGGAGTGACAAGTACGACTTAGTCGTTAAACGGCCGTACTCGCCTCCAGCTAATGTCTTTCAAAGTTGCCCTTTGCCAGTTGTGGATCCACAAGTTGTGTGGAATTTATACTGCCAACGCCACAGGCAGCGAAGGCGATATCTTAGTTTTCTGCAGTCAATTGATAATTCACTTCTTCGCTAAGGATCTCTTGCGTTCTTCTCGCATGGGACGTCCGATGACATCTTGCATAAACCCCTAAACCCCTAAACCCCTAAACCCCTAAACCCCTGAACCCCTAAACCCGAAACCCTAGACCCTAAACCCTTAAACCCTAAAGAACCGGAAAACACAAAAAAAATCGAAAAAGTATGAAACTTCCAAGTCCGGAAGCCTAACCAAAATCAAGAAACGGAGACCCCAAAAGTCCAAAATCCATGTGTAGTTTGGAAGAAAACCCAGTAACACTCGAAAAGCCTAGACTTCTTCACCGAGCCACCTGCGCACGGCTTCGCTCCTCTCGTCCGCCTCACGGGTGACGTCCTCGTGGACGCCTTGGATGGCGGCCTCCAAGCTCATCGCCTTGCAGCGACTTCGTGCTTTGGGGCTTAGGGTTTAGGCTTTAGGCTTTAGGCTTTAGGGTATAGGGTATAGGGTATAGGGTTTAGGGTTTAGGGTTCAGGGTTTAGGGCTTGGGCTTTGGAGCTTTGGGGCTCTATAGGGTTTCGGCTTTCGGGCTTGTAGTGATGGGGTTTAGGGCTTAGGGTGTAAACTGTTGAACCCTCAAAACTAAGCCGCCGAGCCCGTGAAAAAGCCCAGGCTTACAAACCCTACCAACCCATCTGCTCTTGAACGGGAAACAACCTTAACTTTCAAGTCTACCTTTCTGAGATACAGGGCTGCTCTAGGCAGAGCCTAAACTCTCTGACATCAGAGGCGCCCCGACTCCGCACCCCTTTCAATCCCTCAACCCATAAACCCCTAAACCCTAAACCTAAACCCTAAACTGTAAACCCTAAACAAACCCTAAACCCTAAACCCTAAACCCTAAACCCTAAACCCCCTTAAACGCCTGCTCGCGGGCGATCCGGCCAATGCCTTCCGTGGTCGCCCGGTCCGCGAGGCACCGGGCATCCAGCTTGTGCACCTGAGGCGGGGAAGGGTGCTCAGAGATTTTCGGTTTAAGGGTCTAAGGGTTTAGGGTTTAGGGTTTCGGGTTTAGGGTTTAGGGTTTAGGGTTTCGGGTTTAGGGTTTAGGGTGTTTAGGGTTTAGGGTTTAGGGTTTCGGGTTTACGGTTTAGGAGTAAGGAATCTTCCTGAATTCGGAGTACACTCCCTAAAATTCCCAAGCCCTAAACCCTAAACCCTAAACTCCTGAACCCCTAACCCCCCCCCCCAAAAAAAAAAAAAAACGCGCACGCCTCATCCTTCAGGGCTTTGCTTCCCTCCAGGACCCTCACCGCGAGATGCCTCCAGCGTGTCCCCGAAGACCTCGCAGCTCCCAGTTTTGAGGGTGCGTTTGGAGGGTTTAGGGTTTAGGGGTTTTGGGGTTTAGGGTTCAGGGTTTGGGGTTTCAGGGCTTAGGGGTTTGGGGTTTAGGGTCTGGGGGTTTGGGGGTTTTAGTAGGGGTTTGGGGGGGGTTTTTGGGTTTAGGGGTTTAGGGGTTTCGGGGTTTAGGGGTTTAAGGGTTAGGGGGTTAGGGGTTTAGGGGTTTAGGGGTTTAGGGGTTTAGGGGTTTAGGGGTTTAGGGGTTTAGGGGTTTAGGGGTTTAGGGGTTTAGGGGTTTAGGGGTTTCGGGGGTTTAGGGGTTTAGGGGGTTTAGGGGGTTTACGGGGTTTGGGGGTTTGGGGGTTAGGGTTTAGGGGTTTCGGGGTTTAGGGGGTTTAGGGGTTTAGGGGTTTAGGGGTTTCGGGAGATTGGAGGACTCAGTAAGTAGGGTTATTGTAAATTGTAACTATAGTTGCCCTAATCAACGGTTGGACCGAGTGTGCAGCCTCAGTTGCCTCAGGATGCGAGCACCCGGTCCAACAGTGGGGTTGAGGGCTTAGGGCAAGTCTTAAAGTTTTTACATCCTTACCATTCCCTTGGGTCCACGATGCAATAAACAACCATTACACCAAAACAAACAACGACTCCTCCAACCCTAAACACTAAACCCTAAACCCTAAAGCCCAAACCCTAAACCCTAAACCCTGAACCCTAAACCCTAAAAAGTTGCCTCGCAAATGTCGCAGCCAAGAGGCGGGCCACGTCAGCCAGGCGCTCGCGGTGCAGGTCTGCGAGGC